ACTTGAAATGACTCGGAAGTATTTCCTCACTAAAGGGTGGAAAGACAAGCTATACCTTCCGCACGTCGCCACAGTGATAACTGTTAGCGATGTGGTACCAGCGGTCAGCCTTGCTCAGCGGGCACTGGCCTGCTCCACGTCCCCTGCCCTGCCTGTCCGCCCACCTGCCTCCATCGGTACAAGCTCCGTTGCTGTGCCACAGATGCCCAACAAGGCAGTGGGTTGGTGGGGAGATCAATGCCAGCATTGCCCTTGCTGTCTCCAGCAAGAGAAAGACAAGGCAGGGTTCCCATTCTTTACAGCTGTATAGTGCCCCCTGCCAGAATGTTTATGTATGTGGATGTTGTGTGAGATAGGGCTCAGCTATTATTTTCTCCTTCCCCGCACCCACCCACCCACATAGAAAAACAACCTTATGTGAAAACCACCCACACTGGGTGGGTGGGTGGGTGGGGGCGGTGGGGTAGTGTCACATCTCTCCACCATGGCTGAAGTGACTAGAAAACTATTGATAGCTTTGCGCATGTGTGCGCGTGTTGGGGGAAGGGGTTTGCCGTATGTCTGGTGTGAAACCACAATGCTGAGGTCTAGGCGAAGCCCAGACACCCTGAAACACTGTTATATCCGGCCACACTGGCTGCTTGCTCCCAAGCTCTACTGCTTTTGACAAGATGCGTCTGTCACTGTCACCAGCCCAGCTCACAAGTAGGCTGGGATCAGCGCTCACTTTTACCATCGGTTACCGTATGATTTTGGAATGAAGTAGTTGTGGGAGGGGGAGGGGGGAAGAACAGGGTTTTTCCTCCTCACACCCAAATTTTTTTAAAAAAAAATAAAATCACACCAGGTTTCTGATCAAAAGTTGTGTGTCATATTTTAATTCTGCTTGTCGATTATGGCGACTTGTCAGTTCAGTTCACTTCACCGGTTGGCTTGTGCAAGCCACAGGCTTCGAACGGTTCACAGAGCGTGGATGGAGCACGTCACCAGCAATGGGGCTGATGGGGCTGCGTGGATTCAAAACAACCACACGCTCGCTCCCTCCCTCCCTCGTTTATTCACTCGCTCGTGGTCTCTTCCTGCATTTGTGAAATTACTAAACTTTTCAGTTAAAGCAGGATCTCAATTTGATACCTTGATAATGGCTTTGGCAATGAGTTATTTAAAGGTATCTGACCCACTGTTTAAATTAACCACTAGGAAGATATGAGAGTGTGTTTAGGAGTCAGCAAAAGTGAAAGCGTTAATTGTGGTAGTGGAGTAGGAGAGGGTGTCTCAACGTATTAAACAACCGGCTAATATGCTGGTTTGGCTGATTAATAAATAATAATCCTCGGCATTTGATACCGCAGCTTTAGTGTTGAACTTGTCTTCCAAGGGTGCTTCAAAGGGAATTGCTATCAAGTGTAGTGATTGGCTATTTTCCTTTCCGGGGGTAATAATTGCTTTTAAAAAACAATTGGTCAGTCAGTCCACGACTGTTTGTGGGACACTGCTGTGCGCAATTGGCTGCCGGATTTTGCCCACAAAATCCAGTCAATTCACTTTACAGTATATTCTGTGAAGTGCTTTGACATGTCTCCATGACCTGATGAGGCGCTAGATCAAATGCAAGGATTATTATTATTACTATTTGCTGGCGTATAGCAAAGTGGGCTTTTTTGTGTGTGGCAGCTTGATTTTTTTTGTGTGTCTTTTTTTAAAAAAAGAATGAAGTCGTGGGGGTGGTAGTGGAGGGGGGGGGCGTGTGGGGAGTGGATCACTGATCTAAAGCCCAGTACTGGAGATGTGTGTGTGTGTTAGTTGTGCACACAACCAACCAGCCATTCTTCGAAGTGGGGAATGCACACACACAGAGCCACACAGGCACAACTCTGCAAACAATGCAAGCCGAGCCACCAAAGTGTAGCAGCTGATAATAGGCTTGGGTCGACCTTCGGGGTCAGAGTCAAATAAATGAGCCAGATGCTTTAGTGCCTTGTGTTTTCACGGCCCCGGAGCAGATAATTTCACTCGATTCCACCCTCTTACTTCGAAACGCGCACACACACACACACACACACACATACATCATCATCCAACGCACACACACACACACGTCCTCCTGCAGCCCAGAGTGCTGAGCCCACAGTGTGTTAGGGAGAGATTAAATGATTGCTTATCCGTTTCCCCTAGCTGTTTGAGCGAGCTGCAGCCCTTATACACCCACTGAACCGTTAGAAACTAAAGTGTCAGAGGGAGGCAGTGTAATAATAATATTAATCCTCGAGTTTGATATGGCGCCTTATTGCGTCTTCGAGCCGTTTCAAAGCGCTTCACAGAGTAAACTGCTAAGTGAATTGACTGGATATTTTGTGGGCGAAACGCGGCAGCCACTTTAACGCTCAGCAGTGCCCCACAAACAGTGGATTGGGTGACCACATTATTATTAGTTTTTGTGTGTGGGGTGGAGGGTTTCTGAATAAGTAGCACTTTCCGCCCAACCGCACCTATATTTGGGATTGTATTTTGTGTGTGTGTGTGTAAACACGTTGCCTTTATATTTCTTTTTTAAAATAATACTAAAGACAAGGCTTTTGATGGAACACAAAATGCTTGCTGGTTGGGTGTCAACTCAAATCTGTTTGCGGAGCGATACATGCCCCAGAGGATGTGGTCGATTTCTTGATGCATTTTATTGCTGGTTATGTACTGGAGCTGCGGTGGGCGAAAAATCAATCGCTTTAGGTTGGGGGTGGGTGGGTATTGTTGTGGTCGTTTGTTTGTGTGTGTCTGTTTGTGTGTATGCTTGTCTCTTACCTGTCTGTGTGTGTTTGTGTGTGTGTCTTTCTCTTTGTGTGTGTGTGTGTGTGTTTGTCTGTGTCTCTCTCTGTCTATCCAGCTGTGTATCTTTTTCTTTATGAGTGTGAGGGTCTGTCTCTTTCTTTCTCTTTCTTTATCTGTCTCTCTATCTCTCTCTTTCTACCTGTCTATGTCTCTCTCTCTCTCTCTCTCTCACTCTGTGTGTGTGTGTGTGTGTGTTTGAGAGTGTGTCTGAGTGGCTGTGTGAGAACTCAACACACGTTTCGGTTTTACAAAGAGTTAAGGAGTAGTTTAAAGGCTCGGGAAAGAGTGCACAATGTTCCAAAAGTTTGTGTGTGATCAGATAACGCCTTGTGTGTGTGTGTATGTGTTGTGTGTGTATCAGACACCTGATTATAATGAACACAACAGGTTCCTAAAGCAGATGCCATCTCCTGGGTATCAGTCAGTCAGTGCAGACACTGAAACCCAGTCTCTAGGTTGCCTGCAATCCTCAGCTCTCTTTCTTTCTTCCTCTCTCTCTCTCTCTCTATCCATCTATCCTTCCCTAGGTTAGCTGCAATCCTCATAACACTAGACCTCCATCCTCTCTATCTCTCTCTCTTGTTTTCTCTCTTTCTCTCTCTTTAGGCTAGTTGCAATTCTCACATCACTCTCTCTCTCTCTCTCTATCTCTAACCAGCCTCCCCCTTTCCTCCCCTCCCTGTTGTTTCTGTCAGTCTTTTTTTTCTGGTCAAGCAGGGTTCCACACTGAGATCTGGAAGCTGATATACTTTGGCCCATTGCCACACACTGTGGGTCCGGCTGTTTCATCCACCTGGTGGTGTGGTGATCAGAGAGAGAGAGAGACACAGACACAGACAGACACCCAGCCACAGACCGCACTGATATACCACCCCCTCTCTCTCTCTTTGCCTCACTTTAATTTTTTTTGGGGGGTGAGCAGGTTGTTTTTATTTCGCTTGCAACAACAAGAAGGGATTTAATAATTCTACGATTTGTGTGCAAATAAAAAAGTGAGAGACGAGAGTGAGAGAATAAAACACCCAGCCACCTACTGACAGATCACACCTGGCACATCCCCTCTCTCACTCTCACTTTAGTGGGGGGTTTTGTTTTTAGGTGGTGGGGGTGGTTTTGCAACAAGAACAAGAAAGGATTTTGTTGTCTTTCTCTGTGGGAAAAAACTCCCTTTTCCTTAAAAAAAAGAGAGAGAAATTGAGCTATAGCAGCAATCGCAGTGAGGTTTTTAAACCCCTGGGCGAAGGAGAAAGAGATGAGTTGTGTGTGCAAACAAAAAAAAGTGAGTTAACAGTAATATTACAGTGAGCGAAACCCTGGGTGGAGAGAGGAGGGAGGGAGGGAGGAAGGAAAATAATCCCAGCAGCTGTCAGATGGGTTTATACCCTTACTCTTTCATTAAGAGTGACAAATCTCCTGTCAGTCAGTCAGCTTTCCAATTTACAGATAATGATTGTTGCATGAAGATTGATTGAGAATTCTGATGCCTGTTCTCTCTCTGTCTCTCTCTCTTTCTCCTGTGTATGTGTGTTGCCTGCCTGTGTTGTAGCCCAGAGGGAGGAGGGTGTGATATATTCTTTCTTTCTCTCCTCCCCCTTTTTTTTTCTTTTCCTCCTTTCTTTCTTTCTCTCTCTCTCTTCAGTCTGTGGTGGGAAGTGGACTTGACACACACACACAGTGTGATTGCCTCTCGCATTCTCTCTCTCTCTCTCTCTCTTTCTCTTTTGCAAACAGAGACACTTTGCCTTATCTCGTTTCGACTCTTGTGTGGTTTTTTTTTTGGGGGGGGGGGGAAGAGAGAGAGAAAAAGAAACTTCTCAACCTAGTGGGCAAAACTCTTCTCTGCCACAGAGGAAAGAAAGGACAACAAAAGGCTGGCGACAACCATTTTATGTCTGTATATGTATATATATAATATAATATATATATACACATATATTTCAACTCTCAACATGCAGAGTGGAGACCGTTCCGCCCACCCTTAACCTTGACATTCAGATTGGTGATTGAGGAAGGAGAAAAGATTGCACTTCGCATATGCCTTTGGGATTTAGCTCTCTCCCTCTCTCTCTCTCTTACCCTCTCTCAAAACAAAGAGGATGTTTCTTGATAATCTCAAGCGAAAGGGCTTTGCCTTTGCCTGTGTTTGAGCACTTTTGCTGACATTCAATGAGGAAGAGAAGGACTCAGGTATGGCAGCTGGTCACTGGCTTCTGAGTGCTGTTGGTAGTCAATTAAGCTCAGTGTGGATCTGGAACTGACACCCAGCGCACAGCCTTCGCTGAATGACAGACAAGAGGAGCTTTGGTGGTGGTTGTGGATTATTTTTTTTTGTTTGTTTGGTTTGTGGTGTTATGTGGGCAGCAGAAAAGGTCTGTGCGACTCGCTCAGTGCCCTCAGATCTGTCCCGGGAAGGAACAATGGCTCTGTAAGTTAGGATCATGTTTGGACTCAAGCCACCGCTGTACTATCTGCCAGGTAAGGTACAAGAGGGGATCTATCCTCGTCCTCCCCCTCTGTCTGTCTCTGACTGTCTGACTGGGTGTCTGCCTTACTTTTACTCTCTCTCTGTCTCTGTCTGTCTCTCTCTGTTTGTCTGTCTGCCTCTCTCTGTCTCTCTGTGTCTATCTGTCTGTTTCTCTGTGTCTATCTGTCTGTCTCTCTGTGTCTATCTGTCTGTCTGCCTCTCTTTCTCTGTCTATCTGTCTGTCTACCTCTCTCTGTCTACCTCTCTCTGTCTCTCTCTATCTGTCTGTCTGTCTCATCTCTCTCTCTGTATTATCTGTCTCTCTGCCTCTCTCTCTCTCTGTCTATCTGTCTGTTTGCCTCTCTCTATCTCTCTCTGTTTGTCTCAATGTAATGCTACATTGCAATTCGAGAAGTCCTGTATTGCTTGCCCCCCAACACCCCCTCCCCCTCCACCTCCCATCGCCTCTCATTCACGTACGAAAAAAAATCTCTCTCTCTTTCTTGTTTCACTCTTTTTTTAAAAAAAAAGCTGCTCTGAAATGCCAGGGGTCGGTTCTGTCTGTTTTATTTAACGCCTAGTTTTCAAAGCACTTAGGTAATCGGGTCGAATAGAGCGCGGTGTGTGTTACCATCACTGGCGCTAACTAAACATTGGCTCATCATGGCTCAGTGGATTGTGATTAGGTTTCAGGGGCCAAAGATGTAGGGCAAATAGAACTCGTTCTAACGTCAACCTCTCGTCCTGAGAGTTGGGGCAGCCCTGGGGTGGGGGGGGGGGGGGGGGAGTCTTGTTTAAGAGGCAGACCAACTAACTAGGTTGCACCCTAAGCATTGTGAGCTTTAGATCCACAGGAGAAAACATACAGTGCCTTTCTCTAAGCTATTATTTAGGAATTAAAAGTATTAGGCTGGCTTCAAGGAGGGAGTTGATCTGGTATCACTCTCCTACTCCCACTCCCTGCCCTCCACCCCTCCTGATCCCGACCTCCAGCTCGGGTGCGAAAACCCTTGACTGTCGAAACGCGCCTTGGGATGTCCTCCTGACGTGAAAGCCGCTATACAAATGCAATTTGTTGCTGTTGTGGTGGTTGTATTACTGCCCCCCCCCACCCCCCTCCTATATAACATATATGATAACATATATATATATAATATGATATGTTATCATATGTGATATGTTATCATATATGATATGATAACATATCAGTCGAGAGTAAGAGGGAGGGAAGCAACTGTACTTTGGAGTTGGAACATTGCAAATCTGTCTTTGCATGAAAAGTTTTGTCGTTTGGGTTCTGGCTGCTTTTCGCTTGAAATTGCTTCCCATTTTCCCCCCTTTTTTTTTGTTAGGGGGGCGTTTTTTTTTAATGAACGCGTCAAGGCAGAATTTTATTTATTTTGTTTTGGAGAGTTGATCCTCACCCGAGTCTGTAAAACTCCCCGGAGTTGTGATTGACGTTGAGATTTTATTTTTGTGGATAGATTTCACTCAAAAGAAATTAGCTCCGATCCACTCTGCGAGTCTTGAGCTGCAGCTGTCATGGCAACAGTCAGACACTCGCCAGGGTCTCGAATGGTTATTTGACAGGAAGAGAGAAAATAGAAGAGAAGGAGAGAGAGAGAGAGAGAAAGAGAGAGAGAATTACCACTTAAGCTGCAAAAGCAGTAATTACAGTATTGCGTGGCTGCCTCTTGACACGGCCTCTGTCTGTGCTTCGTTGGGTGGAGCTGGGAACAAGAATAATAATACTTATTCCTCGCGTTCTGAGACGGCGCCTTTCAGTTTGGGAGAAGGTCTCACGGGATTTTACTGTAAAGTGTAGTGAATGTGTATTTTGTAGGCGGAATGAGGCAGCCAGTTTGCCCGCAACAACGGCCCACGGACAACCTTGGAGCGAACTACCCAATTGTTTTTGTGGTGGGGTGGGGGGGGGGGGGAGGTGGAGAGGGGGAGGATTGACGGCCAGGATACTGGGTGTAACTCTCTTGAATCGAGACTGGAGACAGGAAGCTGGCAACTTGTGTTTTTAAAATATTTTAGTGTTTGAGACCAAATATAAGACGAAGGATGAAATTAACTCCCCCCCCCAAAAAAAAAAACCCTCTATGTTTTAAGTAAAGGGGTTCCCAGATTGGCCTCTTAATACAGTTTCTTTGAATGTCGTGAGTGCCATTAACGGCCCAGGCTTTTAGGAAAAGATCATTTTGTTTAGTCGGAGTAACCTCGATAAGACCTCGTTTTAAACTGCAATCAATAGCAATTGGTGACACCCACACCAGGAGCTGAGGCGATGGATTGGACATGCGATCCCTGGGGAGCGGTGGGGTAAAAGTTTTGTGGCGTTTCATAATGTATTCCTTATATTAATTAATGCAAATGGGGACATGCTGTCAGACTCTGCTGCAATGTTGGACCCATCGATTCCGTCTATATTTCTTTATGCAAAATAAAACTTTGCAGCTCATTTCTTTATCGGAGTGTATCGCGGGTTTCGAGTCTTGTCACCCGTGTCCCAATTTCCTCTCGTCTAACTCGGGATTCTAACATTCAGTATCAAGTCTGCTGGGGGGAGGTGGGGAGCGAAATGCAAAGAGGTTTTGCGTATACTTTGAAAACTGTACTTTATCTGCAGGGAGGGTGGCTCTTTTCAATTAGGTCAAGGAACCAGAAAGATATCTACAGAGGAATCATCTACAGGGGTGTAGAGAGGGAAAAGGCAGGTAAATGGGACTCAATGGATTGCTCTTTCAAAGAGGCGGCACAGACACCATGGGCTGAATGGCCTTTTGTGCTGTGAATTTCTATGGTTCTCGGTGACCTGGTTTACACACAAGTGATGTAATGAGTTTGCAATGTGATATCTCCGTGTTAAATGTTTGGCAAACAAGTAAAAAAGGTTTACCGTGCGCCTTTAAGGCTTTTAATGCTGCATTATTTTGATAATCCTTCGAATAGACCTTCCAAAGTTCAGCAACACATTACTCTGCCTCATTTACCAATGTCTCCGAAGTTTTTCCTTGGGAATAGGAAGCGCTGAAAATCTTGGGGTGGAATTTTGTGAGGCTTCATGGCAAACGCCTTGTGATAACCATTCCTGGCAACGCATTGTGAAATGTCAGCTTTTTAACATAAGAGAATAGTATCTCTAAACCATTAAAGCTTGGCATTAGGGAAACTCACAAAAATGCTAGAGATTTAAAGGGTTACAGTATAAAGCTGATCTGGATTATCCCGAGGATGAATTTTTTCACATACGACCTTATGTGAAGTCAGAAAAGGAATAACATTCAAATACATTGCACATTGGATATGCATCCTGTAAAGCAGCCCTACGTTGTATGTGTGTGTGTGTTGCTTTACAGTAAAAATAATGACATTCAATCCACGATGTTTGTGGGACGCTGCTACGTGCAATCGACTGCCGAGTTTCGCCCACAAAATATACAGTCAATTCACTGCAGTATATTCTATGAAGCGCTTTGAGACGTCTCGAAGATGTGATATGGTGCTATATCAAATGCAAGGATTATTATTATATTACAGTAATACAACACCAAAAATTTACTGAGCGCTGTTTGATAAGTCCACTTTCATCACTAGGATCAGATGATCATCAGTTCCTTAAGGAAAACTTCGAAGAAAACCTTTCCCTTCAATCTGATGCAGTGTATTGTAGTTGTTGACTGCAGTTTAATTCATTGTGGACGGGGGGTGGGGAGAATTTTATTAATAATAATCTTTGCACCTGATATAGTGCTTTATCACATCGAAACAACTTAACAGTAATTGCTGTTGAGTTTACTGATTGTGTGCGTGTCTGTAGGCGAATACAGCAGTAAATTTGTACGTAGAGATGTCCCACAAAACAGTGAGGTGGTGAATGACCAATTCTAAACTGGAGGATTGATGGCCAGGGGATTGGGAGAGAAACTCCCTTCTCTTTTCCGAGTTAGTGTCTCATTTTCGCACCAAAAACACATTGTGAAATGCATCAAATTTCGGACCATAGACTTGGCAAAGCACGAAGGAAGTTTCATTACCCAGACCTCCAGATCGTCTGTCATTTCCGCTCGTTATTTATCTAATTCCTTCGTGGAAAATGAACTTCTGACCATGTTGTGCAGGCAAATAAGTAGCCTTGTATATAATAATAGATAATTCTTACGTTTGATGTACAGTATTACCATATTGTTGAGTCGTCTCAAAGCATTTCACAGCAACAAGATTCTGAATTGTGAGGTGAGCACTTGTTCTTCATTCTAATGTGTTATAATAATTCTTGCATTTGATATAATGCCTTATATCGGCGAGACATCTCAAAAGCGCTTCACAGGATATACTGTAAAGAGAAACAAAAACAGAAGTCGCTGGGAAAACTCAGCAGGTCAGGCAGCATCTTTAGAGAAAGGAAAGTGAGTCAACATTTCGGGTCCACGACCCTTCATCAGAGCTGGGGTATGTTGGAAGGGAGAGGCTTTCAAGGGCTAACAGAGAGCGGGGAGACAGGGCAAGGAAGGCAAAAGGAGAAAATGGGGTAGAGCACAGGGGATGATGGATTAACAGAGGTGTTAATGATGCAAACCAAAGGGGTGTTCATGGAAACACCCCTTTGTTGTTTCAGATTTCCAGCATCTGCAGTATTTTGCATTTTGTTTATAGTGTAAAGTGAATTAACTGTGTATTTTGTGGGCGAAACGCGGCAGCGTGGATTGAGTGGAAGGATTATTACCTATGACTGTGTATGGTGTGGGCAAAATAAATTGGGCTACAAGTCGCTGATGGTTCCAGCTGCCAAATGGGTGTCCGTCACAGCTTCAGGGGCTTGTCTCAGAAGCTGTGGGCGTGCCTGATGGCCTGGCGGTTAAAGGTGCCAATTAATATAGGCCAAAAGGTCAATGGTTCAGGTCCTGGATTTCGCTGATCTCAGCAGCAGCTGAGGTCCTCCATTTGGTCTCCAGTGTCCCTCAGGCAGGGCAGGAAAACATCAACCAGGGATTGCCTGTCCTGA